TAAAAAATAAAATTAAAAAATATAGATTCCCTTTTTGGTACCAATTACTCTGCTTCATGCCAGGAACAAAAAGAGGAGCTGGATATATATAAAGCTCACGGCTTCGTGGGGAGGTGGCAATTAGCACGTGACGTTGACATTGACATTGACTCTATGCGCCGGCCCTGGCTGTGGCTTTTTGTAAATTATCTCATTTAGTCCTCACAGTTCTTGTTTGATGGCAGCACTTTTATCATCTTCAATTTAGGGTCAAGGAAATCAGGCCGTGGCCTTTCTGAAGTCACATAATCAGTAGATGGGGTTTGTGTCAAAGAAATGTTTGGTTCCAGAACCTGACCTCTTACCTGGCTGCTCTTTGGTTGGTACAACATATGTTTGTCCTGGTGATAAGTTCTGAGGACAAGAGGAAAACATTTACGTTATTAACACTGTAATTTGAATTGATCTACTTTAATTTAACCTGTAATCTTAACACTTGATAAAAAAATTGGAGAGAATACCGTATCTACTTCTTTTCTCGTTTTAATACTTGATTGAGCTACTCTAACTGGGAAACGATGGATTTAATAGGGATTATGTGCTTTTGGATAGTCACTTAATGTTTTTAAGTTCTAGTTTTGTCATAAGTTAAATTTCTGAGATTGTTTAAATATAAATTACCAAGACTAGGAGGAAATATATTACAGGGCCAGCCCTGGTTTTCTGTGGATGATAGAATTAGACGTGGCTTTTGTTCTCTTGTTTGTGCATACTAGGGGAACCAAATGGCTTCTCTCCTGTATTTAGAGCCATGCCTGTTTTCTGCTGGCCTCATCCCCAGGCTGCCTGGGACTCAGAGAAGCTGCAAAGGGCAGCGTGGGAGAGAAATGAGACTTGGTTTCCTGTCTTTCTCTCCGTGATCTTGAACCCTTAAGTCCTGGCAGCCTTGGCCACCCTCTTTTACTTTCAAACTGCTAGCCCAGCTTTTAAATTTCCTTTTCAGTCGTGTGGGTTGTTTGATATGTGTTAACCCAGCACAGCCAGATGCGTCCAGCCATGCATGTTGTTTGAATGCAAGCCTTAGGGTGTTGGCACCCAGATTTTAGTGGGCATAAGAGTCACTCACTAATAAGGACTAGTTGACTCCCGGCCCCGACTCCCAGAGGCCTGCTGCTGTAGGCGTAGGTGTGTGGTAGGGCCCGGGAGCTGTGCGTTAGCAGGCAGCCTGCGAGTCTTTCTGGTGGGCTGTGAACCACAGTTTGAGAGCCACTGACTGTTAGGGAGATTGTTCTTAATTCAGTGGGTAATGGGACGATAAAACAGAGATCTGAAAGGCGGGTGTATTGCTGGCAGATCTGTGGGATGTGGGGAGGGCTCTGGAGGGAGGAGTGATTGGAGTCTGAATGATCAGTTCTGGGGGGCGTTTGGGGTGGTCTCTCGGGGACGGTTGAGGAGGCCTGAGTAAGAGCAGAGGCCTTGAGAAAGTGAGGAGGGGAGGGCTTCCGAGAGAGGCACCACCCACGAGCAGTTGGAAGTTTGGCAGGGTCCGCACGTGGGAGTGGAGGGAAGGGGACTTGAATGTCCACGATTTGTGCCTCAGTGCCTTAGCATGGCAGTGCCATGAAAAATGTGTTCTGTTCTGCAAGGAGATGCTCTCCGGGTTGGAGAGTGAGCACATCTTACAGGTTCCAACTGCAGAAGTTGTGCTAATTAGTAGATGAGAAGTCTTGCATGATTCCAATACTTAAGACAACACAGGGCTCTCTCTTACCACAAACCTCTGATTGTCTCATGTTTTAATGAGGTGTAAATATCATGCAGCTTGGCACATGAAATGTGTTAAAGTAGGAGAGTGTTAGAGTTGGGTCCTCAAACTTGAGTGTGAAATGATGCAATATACATGAATGTGACACCCAGAATTATTTCTGTCCGGCACAGTCTAAGGCATGGAACACAAAGTAAAACAGACCAGGGTCCTACAGGACAGCATGGAAATGGAGATACAAAATCAGTGCTGATAAATTCACAACGCGTCTTCGAGTAATCCCTGTAGTCTTGTCTGGTGCTTGGTGAGATAAGCAGTTCTCACTGCACTTGCTGTGTGGGTGGGGCGCGGGCTCCCGAGATGAGTGCCTCCTTTGGGTTGCACTGACTGAAAGACTGCCAGGGGTGTCAGGGCTCTTCAAGGGCTTGGCACTCAAAGGCAGGGCAGCAGGTCTGACCTTCAGCAGCGTGACGTGGCCCTTTTTCTTGTTCATCATTGGCCCAGCCAACCCTTAGGAGTAGATGTCATTTCTTCTGTGAGTTTCCTCAGGTCAAGTTAACAGATTCTTTACTTAATAGGATCAGCTTTAAAATGAAGATGCCTTTTCTTATCACATCTTCCCCAGTATGCTGCACGGCTGACATT